TTCATTTTTGGCTGGGTTTGACAAAGTCCAAAACCAGCTTGTAGTATGGTGATGTCGGACAGGTTAGACAGTGGGTACATAATTTGTGTAATCAACTCCTACAGTTTTCATACCAGATCCCTGAAACCTCACAAGAAGATTATACATACGTAGAAGTTGTACACCTGCTAATATGGAATTGTTTAAGGGATTTTGTCCCATTTATCCAGACTTGGGATATTAAGTCATTTTTAGAAATATTTATGAAAGAGGGTACAGGTATTGTGTAATCAACTTTTTCTACATTTTTCATCCCAGATCCCTGAAACTTCACATGTAGATTGGCACCTACTATTATGGAATTGTTTGTTGTGCACCTACTATTATGGAATTGTTTGGGGGACTTTTCCCCATTTTTCCAGACTAGGGAAGTAAGTCATTTTTCAGAAATATTTATGAAAAAAGGGTACAAGTATTGTGTAATCAACTACTCCTACATTTTTCAGCCCAGATCCCCAAAACTTCACAAGAAGATTCCACATATTTTAAAATTGTGCCACTGCTGTTATGGAATTGTTTGTAATGAGGATATTTTTCTCATTTTTCCAGATATTGAAACTTAGTCATTTTGCAGCAAAATCTAGTCACACATATTGCAACCCGGCCATTTGATACTTTGGCCTATATGTTTAAATTGATTAACTTTGACTTGCTTATAACCTCCTTCCTTGTACTAAAATAAAACACTTTGTAGATCTAGATATAACAACCGCAAAAAAAAATCATATTGGATATTTTGTCAAGTAGTTAAAATACCACTTGACAACATTTTGCATTTAAATACTTCTACTGAATAAAATGTTTTTCGAAATTGTTATTTAACGACGAAAAGTATGTGATTAAAATTACCTCTGTTATTTGATACGAGAATGGTAAAGGGATTTAGTTTTGTTTTAGAATCAGTGCACCTTCTGAAGAGAGTCTGAAGGAATTATTCAAAATAAGCTTAATATTTCTTGTTGAAAGTAAAGTACTCTTTTGTGAAGAAGCCCAAACGAATGAATATGTGATGCATGTACAGTCATCAATAACCTGAGGAAGTAAAAGGAACTAATGAACATTTCAAAGCTGTTTTATTGCAGTTCCTCGTCTGGACAGATTTCAATAATGAACTGAATAGTTTAAGCCTTACACCAAGGTCAAAATTACCTCTAAGGTTGTGGTAAGCTATACTCTTATGTTTGTTGCCAACTAAAGCATATGCTATTACGCAGTAAACATTACCATTAAGTCTCAGATTGAAGTCATTCAGACACCAATAACTTTCTCTAAACTTCATGGAATTTTAAGACCAATCAAAAACAGAACAGTTTCTCTGGTGTGATTGAATAGTGAAAATTCTGAAGATATTTTTTTCAAAAAAGTGCCAGATTGGAGTTGTTATGAGGAAATGAATAATAAATAGTACTCTATTTTCGTTGTAAATGATAAATTTCACACAGATTGGACAGTCAGGAATGAGACCATGCATATGATCTAGCAATACAAAATATGCTACTGGCACCAATAACTTATTGATAAAAAATAAAAGGCTTCAGAAACCGTTTTAACGACCTTTAAGTTAGTTTACTGTGTACCCTTGACGATGCATCAACAGAACTTGATTAAAATTCCATTTTCATTTAGTAGATCACTTATCTAATTTCAACTAAACTTTGCAGGAAAAATACTAGTATATGGAATGTCTACTTTCGTCTTCGAGATTATAAAAAGCTCAGGAGACAGCACTTTTTTGTTGATATGAAATATCCTTCATAGATTCATTTTCTGTCAATTTGCTGTTTTGCTGTTTATAAAATGTTTAATTGTCACCGAGGTTGTTCTACCCAAAGGCATCGGAAATCTTTGGTAAAACTTGTAAGATCTTTCGTTTTTTAATGTTTTTCACCTTCGTATTTGGTTTGGACTTCCAACCGATTTGATTCGAGCGCCACTAATGAGTCTTATGTAGACGAAAAGCGCATATGGCGTAACAAACTATCAGCCTGGTAGCTTTGATATGTGTTTGGCAAATAAAAAACTAAAATAGGTTTTTCGTATAATGACGAGCTTTTGAACAGAGTTATCTTTAGCTTGTTTTAAATTCTATAGCATATTTTGATTTTTGATAGTTATATGAAAGATCCTTAGACCTGTATTTTTTCGGGAGAAGGGGAAACCATATATTTCTGTACGCAGCGCTGCGATTACATTAACCTTATATCATCTATCATGTCTATATAAGGAAGATTTTATTTTCAACTTCCATAAATTTCTTTGAATACAAATAAACTAAGGTGTGCATGGATAGAACGTCAATGAAACTGCAACATTGAGATGAAAAGTTAAAATAAGACCAGTAGATGTCAACATACGTGTTGTCTACTCTATGGTCGGGTTGTTGTCTCTTTGACACATTCCCCATTTCCATTCTCAATTTTATCTATAACAATTGACAGAGTGTTATGCATGGCAAGCTCTAAGACTAAATACTTACAGTGTTAGCAATTTCATATCAGCAGGCTAACTATTTTGAGAGTGCTTTCAATAACTGAATATTCTTTGATAGTTTATTGTTAATTATTGCTTTGTTAAATTCTTTTTTATTTTGTTCATTGTACAGTTATTATAGAGTTTATTTCTTAATCAATAAAGATTCCGATTACATGTATATGTTCTTGTATATACCTATTGGTAGTCCTAAGATCGAGATTAATGGGGAATGTTTTTTTTTCTTTAAAAAAAGAGATACCATGTCTCTTAAACCGTATCTGAATATCTGAATATCTAATTTGTTTTCTTGTGTTATTCGGAGAATTTGGCGGCAATGACATATCTTTGATTTCTTTTAATTAATTTTGTGCACAACATGTTTTTTTTATTCAGGACGATTAAAAGCTTATCATATTGACAAGACACTGGACTATTGTTGAAAACTGTATGTTGACCTCTAGTTGTCAGTTGGTTATTTGTGTTGGGTTGATGTCTCATTGTCTCCTTTTATTCTTATTTCTATATATTTTGGCGATGGGGACTGCGTAAACTATTTGTTAAAAACTTTTATATTTCACAACGTAGATCGAAGACCTGGATACTATATATACCTTGTAAACAGACGCCTTATTATCTAATATTTTCGGCCTAATTTGTGTACAAACCAATAAACGAAAAATAATTATGATATACATGTAGCAACAAATGAAAACGACTGAATTATATAGGCTCCTGATTTGGAACAGGCACAAGCAGAATATGACGGGTTAAATACGTTAACCTTTTCAGGCGCTCAACCCTCCCCTAACCTGGAACAGTGGTATAACAGCAAAACATAAGAACAAACTATATATATATTATATATATAGAAGTCTATAAAAAGGACCAACCAGCAAATTTACTATGTACCGGATCGTCTAGAATAGACGATACTGTGCAGATAAGGAAAAAAATTATATAAGTCTAGAGATTTGCACAACGATACTAATATAAGATGGTATTATACGAAGATGTTGTTAATAAATCGTGTTGACAAATATTTCGGAAAGCTTTTGGATAAAGGAAATAAATGTACATCATCCAAACGGCATCAATAAAAAATACTAAGTTTTATTTTCCACTCATTTTGGGTTGTAAATATACACAGTCACGTATATTTGAGTATTGAGTTTTGTTTTATATTATGATGTTCAGGATTTTGGATTAAATCAATAGACCAAAACTTACCTGTATTATTGAGCTATTTTTATACATATTATCAGTATTTTTAAAATAATTGACACCGAAGAAGGCTATTTGTTAAGCCGAAATATTTGTCAACACGATTTATTAACAACATCTTCGTATAATACCATCTTATATTAGTATCGTTGTGCAAATCTCTAGACTTATATATTATATATATATATATATATATATATATATATATAAATAGTTGAAAAAGGCTTGACTTGGCAGATCGAAACAACACGCAGGAACGACTTACAAAAGGACTTATGACACACAGTACAGATATTAGAGTACTCGCAGTTGCTGAAAGCTAGCTGAAAGCGCCAATAACAACTAATATTGATATAATGTATCTAAGACTAAATATCAATCAGTAAACATCCAAAGGATTTTATGTAAAAACATCAAAAACAGCCAGCGAAAAACATGATCTTGTGCAATACCAAAATATAGGTATCGGCAGAATATAGGACCGTAAATGTTCAACAGGTATCTGTGTATCAAAAATATTAAGTTATGTTTTATTTATTGATAACAAAATCAATGTTTGTACCAAGGTCTTATTACAGTGTTAATTTGATAACCTTTTAGAATAAGTTTATTTAAAGGATCGATAAGGATTGCATCTAATTTACAGGCTCTATGAACAACATCCTGCAAACATCCCGTTTGTAATATGTCTATAGTTGATTAAATACAATAACGTCATAAAATGCACTAGAAGACATGATATAGTGCCAAAACAAGCCTGTGCACTATCTGTATAATTTAGTGTAAAAACGTTACAAATACACAAAAAAAAAACACCTTTGGAAGGAAAGTCTGTTTTAATAGAAATTATCGTGACCATAAATAAACAATCCTATTGGTTCATTTAAAAGTTTGGTCAACACTGGAACGAGGAAGAGACATTTTCGTGATTTCTACCTCCGACATTATACCTTCTCCAGGGAAGGTGGGTACCGTAATCATGACATGAAATCAAGAAAATGAAATTTCCCATTCGTCTGATGACTAGGAAATAAATAATTCAATATTACGAAATTCAGCAAGATAAGATGAAAATTAGAACACATGCAATCAAAATTCAAACAATCAAAGGACTTGAGGATTTACGTCGCATAAGAGCAGTATCACATTGTATCACGAACGACAACTCTCAGGATTATGGATCGTGACAAACGAATAATCTTATCTGAAAATGTTAAGATTAAAAGTAAATAAAAATATTGACGTTTATGTATAACCTTTTCTCGTAGGGACGTTTGTGAATGAACTTGGATTCTACATGCTAATAAATAGAACACAGTAAGTAGACTTTTTCACACGAGTTTAAAGCGTTAACCAATGAGACAAAATGATGGGAAGCATTTGAAAATGTAGTCTTGATACTATATGACGGACAAATGAATATATGCCAAAGATCAAAGAGGAAGACGAAGTAAAATTCAGAGGGCAACCCTTCTCTCCTAACACTCCAGAATTGACTGTACAGCTTCCACCACATTCAGTGAAAAATTGTAACTAAAAACTCTAAACTTACAATTTAATTACCTTCAATTATGTTCAATCGGGAATACAAGATGCGGTTTAACATAAGATGCATAGGAGAATATATAAGTTCATGGCATATTGTTAACTGTCGCTTTGAATATCTACATGTTCGTGTAGTATTTGAATATCTTTTTGCCCTTTTTATCCATTAAGTTTACAGGGATTAAGCTGCACTGGGAAGTCCTAATGTAAAATCCATGTAAGTAATGTGCTCTGTTAATTATTTCCCTTTTTGTATCCATTCTTGATTCCTCAAATTTACCATAAGCGTCATTCATCTTATAGGTCGTGCATTATCCACTGAGATATTTAAAATGAATAATCATATCATTTTAAAATACAATTTTATTGTTTAAACAAACGCTTAATCTTAGATAAAACTATTTTTCAATGCTATCGGATGGGTCTACGATGCATGCATGTGTTATCTCTGATAAATGGGGTGAAATGTATGAGCAATCTGATTAATTTTCTTTAAAGTAACGCTATACTTGCAAGGCGTTGAATAACAGCAGGGGAAGATTTTTATATTTTCAATTTCTGTTCGCTTCTAATCAAACAAACGTTACGTAAGTATATGCTATTACATTGGTTTATTTTTTCACTTTCTACCCATTTAGTATTTTATAAAAAAAATCATACGTTTGTTTTTATTATGTTTTAAAGCATAAATAGCTTTGAAAGCGGTTTAAGTTTTGGTGCTCTTTAATATATTTGCCTTTCCATATCCTATATTTCTTAAAAGTTCCCCTTTTGGTCATATTAGCTCTTCACGTATTCAGAACTTATAAATCCTTGGCTTACATTTTTGGGGGTTTCAGCGTTCCTGATGAAGGTTTAACTAGAAAGCACGTCGGACGTATCAAATCTATAATTTTATTTCAATTTTTAGCAGCAGGTGGATACCACTGCTGGAGGACTGCTAGTCACCGATGATATCACCATATCATTTATCAGTGCTTATGTACTGACATGGTATATAACATACCTTTCTTTAATTCTCCGTTCATAAATTAAGAAATTATTAAGACACTTAGGTTCCAACTCTCTCAGATAAAGTTGACATCAGGTGGATTTGGCAGATCTGCTTATATCCTGTTTGTTCACAAAGCTCCTCAAGTACCAGGCGAAGAGGTTCAACTCTAAGTAAGACATCAACAAATTCATAAACCGTCGGTCATGTAAATTTTCTAACCCTCAAACTTGACCAGGTGTGAAATTTTGAAATTGAAAGAAGTTTTTATATGACAAAGGATAGACAAGACTATTACCGGTATAAACCTGGCAACACAACATTGAAAAATAAAAAATAAGGCACAAAGAACATGTAAAACTAAAGCCAAAATAAGACGAACTCCTTTTAAACAAAACTAGGGGGATCTCAGGTTCCCAGGGAGAGTGAGCAGATCCTGTTCCACATGTGGCACCACGCCCGTCGTGTTGCTAATGTTAGTACAAACCCGGAGATAAGTCTAATTCAATGATGTCACCCAAGTATGCGACCTGGGCTTCTTAGGTATTTATATATCAGGATATGCTTGAATAAACATATTTGTTTTCGTTTTAATTTATTTTTTGAAATGATGTCACATTCGAGGAGAAAAGGGGTTGTGGCTACGACAATTGGAACATATCCTTCTGTCATCTGCAAAAGTTATTGTTACTTATTATAGTCTTAACATGATGGCTTTTGTTGAAGGTCGTGCAGAGTTCTATAGTTGTTGACATCCTTGCTCTTTTGTCTCTGGTGGATTGTTGTTCCATTACCAATCATACCACATCTCCTTATTTTAATATGATCTATACCTATTCATATTGTGTGCTTTAAACAGTCTGAAATGACACACTAATCTCACAATCGCTTTGCCAAGTCTTAAAACGAAATGAATTTTATAACTCACGTTGATTTTGAATATTTTTTATGGTACTTAATCATGTTAGTATACATACTGATATTAAACCTGATTCAAAACTGCTGATTTTGAAAATTGCAGGAATTTTTACAATTTCAAAGTAATTATGTTCACTGCACACAATGATTGCATATACTATTATACATGTGATACACATAGAATACTCAGAATTAGTTTGAAATTGTAGACATTATTGCCTGGTTCATTAATATATCGAATTTACCACAAATAATGTTCAACTTAAGTTCAGTATGAATTTAAAAGTTTCAGTAACATTTCACTCTCACTCATGTATAACAGTGTTACATGCAACAGCTTTGTCATAAAACATATTATCATTTACTAGTCAACACTTAACATGCTAAACATGACAGTTCAAATTTCAAAAAGGCTGATACTTATTAGTCTTAACATGATGGCATTTGTTGAAGGTCGTGCATAGTTCTATAGTTGTTGACATCCTTGCTCTTTCACTATTTTCAGATGATTAATAATCAGTATTATCAAACAGTTGACAAGTGATCTAATCTTGTCGCTGAAAGAAAAAATCAATAAAACGATTATCTATTATAAAGCAAAATGAAAACACCCTTCAAAATCATAGTTAAAATTAAATTTTTGGTCACTTTGCATGCAAATTAATTTTATTTACTTAAATGGACTAATTGACTTACATTATATACTTACTTTCTTACTTACTTACTACTCTCTACGCCATTGGCATTTGTTGCAAATTATACCAAATGTTTCAAAAATGAAGAAACTAGCTTATAAAAGTTGTGGTCAACATCGTTTAAGTTTATTTGAAAATAATAAAATGAAATAAAACGATATTGCAAAAGTATTTGAAGAATCGAAGAGAGAGAGAGAGAGCAAGATCAAAGCCAGTTGAACATGTCAGTCGGACATGTACACATGACAACGAGTTATTAATAGAAGAATCTTAGTTAACCTTTTAATAACCAAATAAATAACATCAGCATGCAACATGAAATGTGGCAAAGTTCAAGTACCCTTATCAGATGGGTATATACTTATTAAAACATATTTAAGATCATAAAAAGTGTTTACTCAAAGTACATTTTTTTTAAACTGTTCTCAGCATAACCAAATACACTTAATCTAGCTAACATAAATTTAAAACTAACATTTGCATGAAACTTTAATTGGTTACTTAACCGTTCGAGGAAGTCAAGGTCAGGTGACTCATGTCAGACGGCCATGTACATATAATAACCATTTTATAATCCAAATAGAGTTGACATGTAACTTAAATTAAGCGATAACATTTCAGATCATTGGCTATCTATATGCAAACTATGTCTACCCTTTTCTATCTTCTGAAATATTTAGCACTGTATATATAGTTGTACACTGTCAAAGCCGCTACCTACCTCCAACAGGCACTTGTCCCTGAATCCCCCCTCCCCCTATATACCTTAATATAACACAAGGTACCTTACTCGTATATTTGAGAAATGTCACCCGGTTGCGAACTTCCGTTATATTTCGAATTTGCGGTTGTCTATCCCACTGAAACTTGTTATCCTGTAAAGCTGTATTGTATTATCTACAAAATGATGTACACATTGTGTAACACGCCTATTTCTATTATCGTTATAGGCCTTCCAAGTCCAGGGAGAGTCTGAAAGAAATTTGAGTCTAAAAATAGAGACTCGTAACTCCTTAGACATATCTCAAATAACACTTGTTAGATTTTTTTCACAGAATTTTTTTACAAATTTACTATCTGGATGATAAGTTCTGTTCAGATAAAAACTAACAGGTTTTGGGGAAATACTTTTTATAATTAATCATTTACTGCGAACCTTATATTTCCTTGTATTATGTTACGGTTGACATACTTGGAAGGCCTATTACGAATGATTCCGATGATAGAAATAGGCGTGTTATACACCATTTTGTAGATACAATGTAATTGAATGCAGATTTAAGGGATAACAAGTTTCAATGGGATAGAAAAATCGAAATATAACGGAAGTTCGCGAACGGGTGACATTTCTCAAATATACGAGTTAGGTACCTTGTGTTATATTGCCTGTACTACCTCTGCAGAATTAATTCCATTTGAATATAAAACCCGGTGATCTAAAAAGTCCCTTGACTCAACAATGAAACGGTGGAAACTTGTTGTTGTAGGTATGCATGTATACAACAATGAGAGCGTTCAACTGATGGTGGTATCTAATTTACGCCCTGATATTATGATAAATGCAAAATGATAAATTTAAATTACATTTAATGACAGCTGAGTGTAAATTAAAATAGATAGATGCAAAGTTCTTTACACATTAAGAGGACAAACTGGACCAAAAAGAGACACAGATCGACAATTTTATCTTACTAGCCGTTGACATCCTACATCTTTGGAAAACAATTTTAATTTCACAGGAACACTATTGCTATTGGTCAAAATATTGATGTGAGGCGATATTTCTGCAGATATTTTTATAGTGCAATAATTATTGGTGCCTTTAAGATCACATTGTGTGACATGAGTTAAAAACAACACTAATTTTAAATAAACCGAATGAATCATTAGAAAATGATATTTTATTAAATCTAATCACACGGAATATTGAAATTTTTGACACAAAATAATATTCCAAAATAGCCTACGGCACTTATCGTTCCACTCAGAATACATTGATTACAAAACAATGTATTATAACCCGTGGTCACCCATGCATGATTACTTAGTGATTGTTCCATATTTTTTTTTAATTTATGAGTCTTCAAAAGTTCTAACTGTTGCATTATTTTATGGTGCTAAAAATTCTCCAATATTCAACACAATGAGTTGTTTATTAGGCAATACAA